TGCTTGTATAGAGACCTTGCGTTATTTGTAAAATTAGCTTCTGACCACTGTTTGAAAATAAATTGTAGCAAATCTGATATTGTTTTTGGTACCAGATATAAACGCGATTCTGTGTTAGAGAATGTAAACATATTAGTTAAAATCGAGTGTCTTGAAGTAGTTAATCACGTTAAAGCCTTGGTGTAGTTTTAGATGCTGATTTGCGTTTTGAAAAACATATAAATAACTTAATTGGGCGTGCATACTCAACAATCAAATTGATATATGGTTCTGATATCAAAAAGCTTTTATGTGAAAGTCTACTTCTCTCGATCTTTAATTATGCAGATGTCCTGTATGGGCCATGGCCAATACAAACAAAAAATTCAAAAGGTACAAAACTCTTGCCTTCGCTTAATTTTCGGTATTCGAAAAAGACTGTCTATTTCTTACAAATTAAAGGAAATAGGATGGCTTAACATGTACAATAGAAGAACACTTCATGCTGCAAGTACATTTCACAAAATTATTGTAAGTAAAATTCCATTATATTTGTACAGGAAAATTACTTATCGAACTGACGTGCACAATTTAAATATAAGACATAAAGGTATACTGTCTCCACCACCATTTAGGTTAGACCTGTTTAGACGATGTTTCTCTTATCATGTATGTGCAATTTATAATAATTTATAGCTCGGATTATAGGCAAAATGCCTTTTTTGCCTATTTTGTCTATTCGATGTGTTTTCTGCACATTTTGCCTTTTTCGTAAATTCCGATTACTAAACAACATTTTGGGTCAATAATAGAATATCAATGGTATGTTGATAATGGATTTCTAGGAAAATGTACCTGATTAAGATTAAGGCTTAGGAATCCCTAATCTTTCTTCTTTTTATAATTTATAATAAACAATCAACAGTTGTACTCTATCAGAGTTTAGTTTTGTTTCATATGCTGAATAGTAAAGAACACACATTTTAAAAAGTTTTAGACGTTTTGAGAATTTGCTTAGAAAGATTTCTAAGTTAAATGCATGGATCCGACTATACCCGAAACTTTCTCTAGAAGGAGATGAAGCATTTTGTAAACCGTGCGGCAAATCGGTAAGTTTTTATCTTTTCTCTCTCTCTCGCGCCCATGACTAAATTCCAGTGTGGTATTAAAATTCTTATTATTGTTATTTGTTATTTTTTTCAATTCTCAGATTTCAAGTAGGTACTAAAAAGTACTTTATTGACCAGCATTGTGGAACTCCACTTCATTAACGGAATTTGGGAAAATTGAAGTCTTCTAAGTTAGTCCTAACATATCTGCGGGATAGTTTAAGCAGTTCAAAAGGAGCAACATACATTTAAATTTGATTTATGCCAGATGATGATTGCATCCAACATTTCTCTGTATGAAGTTAATCATCCTAGTTTTAGGTTATTTTTTAAAAAACATTTTAATAAATCTTTACCGGAGGAGCGTACATTGAGAAAACAAACCATGGACAAATGCTATGTGGAATGTATTTCAAAAATTAAACGGGAGTTAGAAGGCAATTTCTTGTATATTATCGTGGATGAAATGACAGATGTATGCGGTAGATATACAGGGTGTTTCAAAAAGGTATGTCATAAATTCTTCTACCTAAAAATAAGTGAATTTGGCTATATTTACCTATATCAAAAACTGGCTCCTAACAAAGTTACAGGGTGTTAAACTTACATTCAAAAAAATGATTTTCTTATTTGTAAAAAATTTGCTGTTGCGAATTTTTCTTCGAAATTTTTGCCAGTGCTGTAGATTTGAAGGCCCAATATTCCAAGGAGAAAAAAAAATTAAAGCGATCCTTTAAAAAAAGTTGGGTACCTTTCAACCCCCCGTGTTTTTTTTGTCATAAAGAAACTTGCCTTCCCAGACAGCACAAATCAATCCATTGGATGTCCATCGGAAGTCCATTCATGGACATATCGGCTGTCCAAAAGACGTCCAGCATTTTACCGAAGGACATCCAATGGACATCCACTGGACTATACAAATGTCCCACTCCTGGACGTCCATTTGGACACCATGAAAGGTCCATATATGGACTCTTTTTGTATTGCTTTTGGACAATTTATGGACATCTGACGGACATTACCACCTATATTAATATAAAATAAAATAATTGCAACTATGGACTTATTTTTATTGTCATAAATAATATCAAGCATGTATTAGTTTTATACGCACTCCTTTCTGTTGACCTTCTCGGCCATTTTCTTAAGGCTATTTCGCTTACTTTTTAAGCAGCACCATTGTCACTCTCAGCAGCAGCTAAAAAAAGAAATTACATTTTATATGAATATTAAGTTTTTAATCAATCGTTTAATACACGCCTGATCAGGCAAAACTGATAGTTAAAAATGTAAAACTTTTAGATAAAATGTCAACTAATATGAAAATATGCATTGACTAATGTACTTTACCTCTATACTTACATATAAACAAAAAACTGCTCATTATTTCTTTAAATTACCATTTTACTTTCATACCATCATATTATGCGAATTCTTTTGAGAGGATATTAGAAATTATGGAAACAAAATATCTTTTTATAAGTTCGTCATGTCCATGTCCCTGGTTTTAGAAACTGCTGAATCTAAAATTGCAATAAAAATATGTATTTGTGAACATTATAATAATAATAATAATAAAAGTTTATTTGAAAAATGTACAAAAAATTAAATAAAATAAATTTTTTTTTAAATACATTTTTTTTAATAATATAAATATTTTTTTTTTTTTTTAGGTACATACAAATAAACTACCCATTGCCACAAAGTATAAAAACTGTCCGTGGCGTGTGTAGAGATATGTTAAGTACTATTTTACAATTAATTAATATAATACAAATACTGACATATAATAATAATAATAATAATAATAATAATAATAATAGAGAAATTTGCCGCTTTTTTTTAATTTTCATCATTTTTTATTTTTTATTTTATTTATTTTTTTGTTCTTGTTTTAAATTGCGATAATGATTTTGATTGATTAAAGAGAAATAACTTATGAAACCAATTTTAATGCATTATTTCTTAAACGTTACAAAACGATTCTATTTTATTTAATAAAAGTAAAACTTACAGCTTCTTTAAAAATATTTGTATCTTCTAAATAGCCTCTTCTGCTAAAGTCTCATGCCGTACAAGTACAAATAGAAACTTGAATTTTTTTCTTCTCCTTTGAAAGTTTTCTCACCTCTTAGTTACAATAATAATTGTGTTAACATCATCTCGAATTTGCAGCATATTAGTTAGCTTGGTTATATTACTTTAAAACAAACGATTTGCTTCTTAATTTTTGGATTTTTAAATAATTTAATGTTAATTATACTTATTTTCTTACCAGATAAATATTATTTATCGGATACATGTGGGATGTTTTCTTCTTAACCTCTTTCTTCTTTTCTTCTTCGAGTCTGGTCTGAATGGCCTTTAAATTTTTTATCTTGTCAACAGAGGCGTTAGGAGAGGAAAATTAATTGATTTATTTTAATTAAAACGTTGTAAATAATTAAATTATACAAGAAGAATTATAATAATTTATTATAAATTAGTCTTTTTTATAGTGTCCATCATGGACATTTATTGGACATCCAATGGACGTCTGAATGGGTATATCCATTGGATAACATAAAATGGATGTCCAATGGACCTCCATATAAAGTTCATGGACATCCAGGACATTATTTGGACAAAATATGGACGTCCAATGGACGTCGTGTGCTGTCTGGGTTATCGATCTAAAAATCAAAAAGAACTATGAATTTTTAATTTTTTTTATAGCAAAATGAACTTTGTATCTTTCTTAGTTAACGAGCTATTTACAATTTTTTAGCTGCATATCTAGAGCAATTCGTCCGTCCTGGACATACCAACAAAACTAAGAGTAGGTCAGGAGTTATTGTACAAAAAACGCATATAAAAATCAGTGGTGTGTACTAGGGCTGTGCTTGAGCCGCCCCTGCAAAACTACCTCTTTTATTTATATTTTTGTAAAAAGGGTATTTATAATATTGGATTGGTGCCATAAAAATGATGTGCCACCCTTGGTTTACCATGCCACTGATAAAAATACACGTCAGTTTGGAAATGTATTTATTAAATTTAATAGTTAAAAAAATATATTTTTTAATTAAACAATTAACAAATAATTAACAATTATAAATAAACACTTGACAATAATTATTATACATATTTTATAAACTATTTAATTTAGTAAATGTTTAACATGTCTTAAATACAAAAATATAAATAAAAGAGATAGTTTTTTCAGGGGCGGCTCAAGCACAGCCCTAGGCACACCACTGATTTTTATGTGTTTTTTGTACAATAACTCCTGACCTACTCTTAGTTTTGTTGATATGTTAAGTCCAGGACGGACGAATTGCTCTAGATATGTAGTTAAAAAATTGTAAATAGCTCGTTAACTAAGAAAGATACAAAGTTCATTTTGCTATAAAAAAAATTTTTAAATTCATAGTTCTTTTTGATTTTTAGATCGATAAGGCAAGTTTCTTTATGACAAAAAAAATACGGGGGGGTTAAAAGATACCCAACCCCCCAACTTTTTTTCTCTTTGGAATATTGGGTCTTTAAATCTACAGCCTGGCAACAATTTCAAAGAAAAATTCGCAACAGCAAACTTTTTACAAAAAAAAAAAACGTTTTTTTGAATGTTAGTTTAACACCCTGTAACTTTGTTAGAAGCCAGTTTTTGATATAGGTAAATATAGCCAAATCCACCTATTTTTTGATAATCTATCTGTGGAAGAATTTATGACATACCTTTTTGAAACACCCTGTATAGCTAATTTGATGATTGTAATTTTGAACGACAAATTTCCAAGCAAACCTTATTTAGTTGCCGTTAAAGAATTAGAAAAAACAAACAATTTAACTATAAGTAGATTTATGCAAGAGACTTTAACCAATCTCTTCTTAATGCTATACCAATGAATAAAATAGTTTTAATGCTTTCAGATGCTGCGGCATATATGTTACAAGCTGCTATTAATTTAAAGATTTTTTATCCCAAATTAATTCATTGCACTTGTGTCGCCCACAGGGTAAATCGAATTGCAGAAGAAATAAGAAATCTGTTTCCGTTGGTGAATCATTTTATAAATTATATGAAGAAAGTTTTCCTAAAGGCTCCGTTGAGGGTGCAGATGCAGATGTACAAAGAAAAACTTCCCGGTGTCCCTTTGCCACCTAAACTAGTAATTACAAGGTGGGAAACGGGGCTCGAAGCAGTTTTCTCTTACTTTGAACACTGCGATGAAATACAATTAGTAATGTCAGAATTTAATGATAATATTTCCGAAGCCATTCGAGAAGCAAAAAAAATATTAAAAAATCCGAAATTAAAACAGCAACTAGCTTATATCAATGGCAATTATAAATTAATAGTTAGCACAATCACCTTATTAGAACGACAAGAGGTAAATTTATGTGAGTAAAATTAGTAGATAATTTAAAGTCAAAAATTAAGTCAGCACCTGGAAGCAATGGTCAATTAATTTTTAAAAAAATGAAAGATGTTTTTGACAAAAATTAAAGTTTCTCGTTTTTGTCTAATGTTGCCAAAATTTTGAATGGGACATTTTCCGAAGAACTACAAATTTAGCCAGATTTATTATCCGCTCTTAAGTATGCTCCAATTACATCTGTCGAAGTAGAGCGTTCATTTTCAATGTACAAATTAATTTTAAGTCATAGAAGACAAAGTTTTAAGACTGAAAATATAGAAAATCACTTAGTTGTAGCTATTAATGATAAAATTTTAAGTGGTTACAATGTTTAATTATTATTTAACAATTATTTAGTTATTATGTTGTGTGAATATATTTTTTGTGTTAAGTTAATGTTAAGTTAATTCACTTTGTATAATAAAAAATAAGTTATTATTAATAATTATGGATTTAAAGGCATTTGCCTATATTGCCTACATCTTGCTTATTTGTTTAGATTTCTGCCTTTTTCAATAATTTTTTTTGCTTATATTGGCGCCTTTTTACGAAAGCTTCCTGTAAAAAAAAATATTATCTCGCAATTGTGACTTATTATCTCACAATTGCGACATATTATCTAGCAATTGTGAGTTATTATCACGCAATTGTTACTTATTATCACGCAATTGTGACTTACTATCTCGCAATTGCGACTGATTATCACGCAATTGTGACTTATTATCACGCAATTGTGACTTACTATCTCGCAATTGCGACTTATTATTACGCAATTGTAACTTATTATCACGCAATTGTGACTTACTATCTCGCAATTGCGACTTATTATCACGCAATTGTAACTTATTATCACACAATTGTGGCTTACTATCTTGCAATTTTAGAAACATAAATGACATTTTGTGTCTAATACACTTACAAAAGAAATGATAAAAAATACAATTGAATATTTGAACGAGTATCTACCAGAATGTAACGACGATATTTAATTCTATTTTAAATGCCAACTTTTGCAATGTTGAAATTGCTTAGTTTCTGAATGTAATAATATAAAATTATGTTTTATTTTGGCGAAGGAAAAATTCTTTTAATTGTTCTTTTCTCTTTAATCTGATGTTTCTATTTTTGTATATTTTATAATTTGGTGTATGTACTACTAAAATTAGTATTTTTTTACCATTTATTTTTGTATGACAGGAGATTAAAAATACTGAGATTAAAACTAATATACTTCGGTAGGATCAATTATTTCTTCAACAGTAACCAATCTCCTTAATCAACCAAATTAAAAATACTACAGTTTGAGGCGTACCTACGTGTCATTGCCAGTATATCTCGTTGGTATCTTATGTTTCTATTTGTCCTAAAAATGCATTATTCACAAATATTTATTTTATTTTACCATTTAAGGCTGTTTTCTATTTTTTTTTTTTTTTGAGTGATAACTTGTCACGGTTTCAATACTAGTATTTTATTAAGTTATCTGTTTCACTTTTTAATAAACTATTTGCATTGAATGTTGATATGTATTTAAATGTTATTTCAAATCGTACATTTCTGTGTACATAGATGTGGTTGACTGTATAACAGCAGTGCTTCACAGTGAACCAAGTTGCATTTTGTTTAAATTGCTATGATTTCAACAATTTTGTTTTTACAACTATAGTGGTCATTACAAATGAAATAATATAAGATATTCTTTATTTATATACGACATATTTTCAGAAATGTAACTTCAATAGGAAATATACAACAGTAATCAAAAATTTGGATGGTTTTCTTTTGAACAACTGCCTACATAATGTTTGTTTTTATAAATTTTAAAAATACGTAGGTAAGTTAAAAAATTAACAATAAAAAAACCAAAGTAGTTATGTGTATTACTTTATTGCATATTAATATTTAAACAAGTTAGATAAAATTGTTCCTAAATTTTGTTTTTGATCCCCACTTAAGAGTCCTGGCTAAATTATGTTAAATTTATTAAGTAGGTTATAATATTTCAATAACAATTATGTAAATAATAAATATAAAAATTCTGCCTTTATATTCATTTCTTTCACTTCATTATATTAATTATGATATCTCTTAAATTGACATATAAATCTACAAGGCTGTATCGATCATCACTAAACATAAAATTATTTTCATTCATTAAAAAAGTGCATAATTCAAAGAGATCATTATCGCATATAGTTTCTGGAAACGTTGCTTCATTTTTGCAGGCTTCAAAATCGATGATGTTAACTGGACACAGGAAGTCCTTTATGTTAAATGTCTGGGGGTTTTCGAACATTACAACTGGCCTTCCATTTTGACAAAAATTTTGTCTACATCTGGTTATACGGTGACAATTCCACTACCTCACAATGGTGTTTACCTCCTGTAATAAAAATGTATAAAATTAATTTAGTTGGATTTATCTTTATTTTCCATAAAAAGTGACACACAAAAACGGCGCCTTCTATTATTCATGTTTAAGAAAAAAAAAATTTTATATAAAAGTTGGTGCTTCTCTAAACCCCCATATTACCTCAATTAGAACGTAAGAAGGAAAGACAAAGTATTAAATGAGTTATTACCATTATTGGGTTCTATGCGAAGTATGAACTAGTGTTCCTTTTTACCCACCTGCAATTATTTTTGGATCATTCGTATTCGAAGATGCTTTCAACCAAATGATAAACCTCGAGTATCCATCAATAGCGCCATTTATTCATATACCATATGGTTTTAGTTTATCATATGTCAAGATGCCATAAAAAATTGGGACCAGTATTATTATATTGCCTTCTATGCAGTTTTCGTCTTGTTCTTAGTTCTACTCCAGAAGGATCTAAGTTTTGTAATATTAAACGAACCATATTCTGCGAAACAGAGAAACCATTTTGAATGCATTTCAAATGCATCCATCTATAGCCATGCAGTTGGGAAGAATTTTGTAACTGATGGTCTATAAAATTTACTAAAATATCAGCTCCACTGAAATATTTTTTTCTAAACAACTTGTTTTTGTTTAAAATCCTCTTTAGTTGTCGTTTTGATATATTTGTTGAAAATCTCTTTTTCAGTATGTTTCGAATTTCACTATAATTACATCCATTTAAAAAAATAATGCATAATAAGATTATTTCTTGATCTTGAATCCATCGTCTATTGTTGCAAATATCTTAAAAGATGGTTAAAATTGTAAAACAACTTAATGAGTTATACATATGTTTAAACTCAAAACTCACCTGAAACTACTACAAGCTCGAGAATGGAGAATCACTTCACTGTTATTTCACGAAACATTGACCAAAACTCACCATTTTAAGCAGACATGTAACGGCAAAATAACTCACAATTGCGTGATAATAAGTCACAATTGCGTGATAATAAGTCACAATTGCGTGATAATAAGTCACAATTGCGTGATAATAAGTCACAATTGCGTGATAATAAGTCGCAATTGCGAGATAGTAAGTCACAATTGCGTGATAATAAGTCACAATTGCGTGATAATAAGTCACAATTGCGTGATAATAAGTCGCAATTGCGAGATAGTAAGTCACAATTGCTTGATAATAAGTAACAATTACGTGATAATAACTCACAATTGCGAGATAATATGTCGCAATTGTGAGATAATAAGTCACAATTGCGAGATAATAAAATTTTTTTTTATAAAAAAAGTGGCCTCAGGAAGCTTTCGTACCTTTTCCTTCATTTTTATGCCTATAAATCCGAGCTTTAATAATTATGTTCCAAATTCACTAAAATGCGTCAGTCATGAAAAATTCAAGAAATCATATAGAAATGTGTTATGTGCTGCATAATTGTAAATGCTCATATAGTGTTTAATAGGTATATCTCATGTCTTTCTAATTATTTTTTTCTTTATTTCTTTTTCTTTTCTGTGTTTTGAACGGTTCAAGCTATATATATTTATAAATATAATATAGTTTTATTTTTTTTTATTGTTTTGGGTTAAGTGGAAGAGCAATTCAGTGGTAAATTTCATCACATGAATTGAACTTCGCCCTTTATTTCTCATTTTGCATAAAATTTAACAAATTAATATGTAATTTGTAATTATTCTGTATATTCAAAATGAAAATAATAAAGACATTGATTATTATTATTATTTACTATAGCAGAATAATTTCCATGTAAAAGAAATTGGAGGCAATCGCGCCTGACACCTATTGGTAGAATAATGCAACTAATCATTTTATTTGCTGGTCAGATACGTCAAATATTAGAACTATATAAACTTAAATTAATTGTCAATATATATTACATATTACATATCCTTAAATTAGGAATGAGGTCCTCCTTTTCAACAAACCGTCTCTTCTTGCTTGTACTTAAAACTGATTGGGTATTGTCGAAAAAGTTAGACAAAACCAAAAGAAAAATTAAAATTTAGTCCCATTTATAAATATTATTGATTTTTTATCATCATATTTTTGACTTCTTTATAAAAAAAAGTTATTTTTCTTTGTAGTTTTATTTTTTAACTATTTCAGTGGTCCAACTAACGTTTTTCGTAATCACAATAAATAAGTTATTATCATGGTCTAACAAACGCGCACCTTTGTGAGGGAGCCGATGCGTACATTCGTATCTGATCTAGGTAATCAGTGCCATGAGTACAGCACGTCACGATTAGGACAGCGCCCCGCTTGTGACGTATAATCCATCGCATGTGTTCATCTCTTTCTAAGCGATATTGTCGTTGTCCTTGTTTTTTGCATCATAATGAGAGAGAAAACAACAAAGGCACACATTAACTGTGCCCTGTGTCCACTTAATTTCGGAATTCTCGGAATGTCGCTCAACGCCCGGTCGTCCAGTGTCGTGCCAACGCGGTTTGCACTGAATATTAGATAAAATAATAATAGGCATTGAGAAAAATATAAAATATGTAGGTTATTTTTTTTTTGGTTTATTATACTAGGGCACGTGCCCAAGTACCCTTACGGGCAAACCGCCACTGGTTGCAATAC